GCAGCATGGGGGGGGGGGGGATCATTACAGTAACTAACTCATACGGATTAGCAGTAAGGAAATTGATAATTTAATTCCTTTAATATTACCAGTACAATGCTAAAATCATCAGTTAGTAATCTGTTAGAAATCAATGAGAAGATCAAAATAATTTCCTATGTGTACTACAGTACTGTTATGCTCTACAAAGGAAATGATGATGAACCGCTACAGAGCAAAGACTGGAGTTAAATGTGTACATGAAGACCTGTAGGCCAAACAGAGAAGGGGGTGAAAAAACAGAGTGGATGTGAATCAGCAGGGTTGGTAACGTCTTAAGATGATGTGTGAGGAGGATCTGTGCATTGTGTGTTGATGCGTTTCTGAGTGAGTGTGGATCAGTGTCCATTAACTTACAACATTCTGCCAGACTGAGTGTGGCTTGAGGCACCCATTAAAATAAATCCAAAGAGCTAAGAGCCATTGAGCTTGATTGCATTATTGCAATAAATCAACAGTGACTAATGTGTTTGACTGTCTGATAGACTGCTGAACATCAGGGGTGTAAAGTACTCAAATAATTGCACTTAATTGCTATATTTATGTATTATTTTTGGAAAACTGTATTCTTACCCAATTACATTTCCAAAGAGGAAAAAGGAACTAAATGCATTAAACCTTGACAATACATTTGTTGCATGTATAATCACCATCATTCAAAAGTTTGGGTGTGATTTTTAGTTGTTTTTGAAAGAAAGTAATGCTTTCATTCAGAAAGGATAGATTAAACTGATCAAAACCTACAGTAAAGACTTTCACGCTGTCACTAAATAATTATTTCAATTAAATGCAGGATTTTATTTTTATTTACGGTTTCCACAGAAATATTAGGCAGCACTTTTCAACAAACAAAACTCTTTTCTACATTGATAATAATAATAAATGTTTCTTAAGCACTGAATCAGCATATTAAAGGGATAGTTCACCCAAAAATTTAAAATTATGTTTATCTACTTACCCCCAGGGCATCCAAGATGTAGGTGACTTTGTTTCTCCAGTAGAACACATATGATGATTTTTAACTCCAGCCGTTGCAGTCTATCAGTCGTATAATGCATGGCAATGGTAACAAAATCTATGAGAGTAAAAAAAAACATGCACAGACAAATCCAAACTAAACCCTGCGGCTCGTGACGACACATTGATGTCCTAAGACACGAAACGATAGGTTTGTGCAAGAAACCGAACAGTATTTATATCATTTTTTACCTCTAATACACCACTGTGTCCAACTGCCTTTGGGTGCGCGCACGGCATCCGGTGCGTGAGGTGTGTACACGCTCTGGTGTAGTTTACGTTAATGGGTGTGTTGATATCCAGCCGAAGAGCAATCAACCATAACTTCAGGCGAGCAGGCTCAGAAGTTGGGAATACGTGGTAAGTCACCACTCCCGAATAAGTTAGCGCGAGAGAAAGTAGTCTTTTAGTTTTAAGTCAGTTTGAACAATCCGGATAAGCGCAAGTAAGTACCATTTTGATTAGCCGTCATACCTACAATGCCTGTGCACTGTATAAACAATGAGTGACGTGAGTGACTACGCCAGAGCGCGTACACGCCTCACGCACCGGATGCCGTGCGTGCGCCCAAAGGCAGTTGGACATAGTGGTGTACTAGAGGTAAAAAATTATATAAATACTGTTCGGTTTCTGGCCCAAACCGATCGTTTCATGTCTTTGGACATCAATGTGTCATCACGAGCCGCAGGGTTTAATTTGGATTTGTCTGTGCATGTTTTTTTTACTCATAGATTTTGTTACCACTCCCATGCATTATACGACAGATAGACTGCAACGGTTGGAGTTCAAAATCTCCGTTTGTGTTCTACTGAAGAAACAAAGTCACCTACATCTTGGATGCCCTGGGGGTGAGCAGATAAACATCAAATTTAAATTTTTGGGTGAACTATCCCTTTAAAAAGATTTCTGAAGGATCATGTGACACTGAAAACTGGAAATGTAATGGCTGCTGAAAATTCAGCATGGACACTTTGACCTAGGGCTGCTCGATTATTGCAAAAATCATAATCACGATTATATTGGTCAATATTGTAATCACGATTATTTAACACGATTATGAGTGGGCCAAATGACCAAAACTTTATATGAGTGATTTATTTAAAGATAGCAATATATATCAAATATATATTTTCTGTAAATAAGGTTGCTATTACGTCTATATTTTAGATACCAGCGACATTTCACAATTCTAAATACCACAGCTGTATACTAGGGTAACTCATACAAGTAAAAAAAGAAAAGTCCTCAATTATTTGAAAAATAATTAAACAGTCACAATATAATACAACAAAAAAAAAGCAGAGGACAAATATAATAAAAAAGGTAAAAAAAATGAAACATACAGTGCTTTAATTTTTTTATGCAAGTCTAAAGTATTGCTGACAACCTATTACAGATATTGAATAATCGAATATAAAATAAAACAGCATAGTCTTCACTGTAAGAATTAAACTTCTTTTGTTTCTTATTAAAGCTACAAAAGTTATTCAGTCAAATTATTTTTGATGAGTGATTTTCTGTGATTGTCTTTTGTTGTTTGATTAATATTAAGCACACAGTCGGCAGCAGGAATATTAGCCAGTCATTCTCAACTGATTAAACATAACATAACCGACGAGGGTTTACGTGAATAATCACCAAGCACCGCATTTTGACACAGTTTTGCATGTATTTGACCTTTAGGTGCGCACCTTAAGCTAAAAGTTGACTTTACACGTCTGTGTTCTGTTCCGTGTCGGAGCGCATCCTCAGAAATCTTTGACCTAAAGCAATTAAGTAACTATTTTTGATCTTTGTTGAACTTTATTTGAGTCCATTTACAAGTGCTGCTAATTTTAAAAGTTTAGCAATTTAACAAAAGGTTCAATACAATACACATGTATTGCTCTTTTTTACAAAATACATTGTTTCAAAGCACTTCCATAGACAAAAAGTAAAATAATACAAATATAAATAACAGAAAACAAGCAGTAAGTCTTTAGGCATTACAAAGACAGAACACTAAGAAAACATATGAATTAAATGAATTCTTTCTTCTATTTTATTCTATTAATAGATTAAATGTCATAGTCAAAGTCATAACTGAACGCATACACAATTTCTCTGTACATTTTACACCCCTGCTGAACATTATTTTTTACAAGGTGTATAAAAAGCCCCTGAATGTATTGCAAACCCAGTTTACTTCAGAAACCCACAAAGGCCATGCATCAATATTTTTGTGTTGAGATCTTAGGAAAAAATGCAGATTAAAATAACACATGGTCTCTATAGGCTTCCATAGTTTCCAGCACTAAAGACCATTTGGTCCTGCACAGATGCTCTATTATATGCATATTATATGCATTCGCCACCTTATTAAGGAACACAATGGCACTACTGATATTTTAGTATCCAGGCTTGTTCATGGGGAGGGAGGAAAAATGGAAAAGAAAAATTACCAACGTCATTGACCTGCAGCAGTGGTCAAAAAATCCCACAGATCCTACGTCTGCAAAATATGCAACAACATAAAACAGCACACAGAGCCTTCAACAGCATATCACACGCTTTTAGTACACGCTCATGGCGGTGCTCAAGGACTCGGAAGGATAGGGAGGAAATGCACTCATGCTTTTATTAGGTGCAAAGGAAACCGACAGGCACGACTCACATTCAGCACTGACCTATCAGAACACATCGGGGAGGGTGTGAAAGACATTTTGCGTCACACGAATATCATTCACAGGAGAACAATATGAGAAGAGCAATCACAATGGTTGATTTTAGGTGTGATGGGAGATGTGAGGTTGAACTTCACAGCTGCATTGTTCACAGGATGCCGAACATTGATCACACAGAGTGACGAAGCATCCTTTTAATGTGTGGATTGGTGCTGGGTTAAAATTAATTCTAGGGCTGTCAATTGACTTTTTAATCAAATGAATTACATGGTTTGCAACAAATTGATAAATTGCAAATTTGCTGAGAAAAGCCTCCAAAAGAAGACAACTAAAAGATTTTACAGATCAAAGTATTGATTAGCCTTTAGAAAAATTGCCTTAAGACATCAATATGCGCTCGCTTTTGCAGTCGAGTTTGTCATTCTCTTCAAGGTAGACTTCAAGTTAGTTTTGTCCATCCACAGTGTTTTTCTATGTAAACAGGCACTAGATATGCATCAGTGACGGTTGCAATGTCAAGACGAAAGTAGTTCATCTTTATATGATTGATTGCAATAAAATTACATGTTAAATTGCCAGCCCGAATGAATGCATAAACTTATGAACTGTTTTTCTTATGTGAGCTTGCCAAAGCAGAGGATGACAATACTTTCTATTTCCTAGAAATGTGTATGTGCGTTTGTAAGTGTGTTTTGTTTAGAAATGATCACTCTGCATAAAATGCACACATGCATAACTGTATGCAAGGGCTTAACTGTGAGCATATAGTACAGTGTCAACTTTACATAAGGCAATAAGAACCTTTGAATCTACAACATCTACATTACAAAACCACCATTAACCCAGCTGGAGTGTTTTTCTTGTCTTGTGTGTTTGCACATGGATCAAAACAGATAAAAGACGAGGTGCATTTGCTGTTACACACAAACACAACCAAAAGGTGCAAACAACTCCAAGAAATACCAGCCAGTCTTCATAAATACTCATAGCAAATACTCTAAATATATAATATGATGCATTTTATGGTCTATGGAGAATTTTTTTTAATAAGGCACAAGTAGGGCTGGGAGATATAACCAATATTCACAACATATTTGCAATGATTTTTCCTGTGATGTAAAATCAAGCAACACTGTGAGTATCTTAAATATCATATTGATTTTAACGCAGTTTCCTAAAAAATTTTAATAGCATCTTAAGTACTAAAAATGATATTGGACATGGTAAGTTTGATTCATTTCCACAAATCAGTTCAAACTGTCTATGTGAGACTTTTATATATTAAAATATATAATATATATATATATATATAGATAGATAGATAGATAGATCAAATTAAAATCAAATAAAAAGAATATTCATAAAAATATAATATATTTTGTTACATATTTACCAGAAAAATACAAACAATAAATAAATAAATAACTGTGGGCCTAATTAACACTCAGAGAGGCACTGAAATGTAATTTTTAAAATAGTTTTTGTGCAATTTCTGTATAAACCATTTATTGATTTTGTTTTATCACCCAGCCCAAGTCACAAGAGAGGGTGGAAAAAATGTGGAGAACAGAAAGTCTGAATGAATTTTACTTAAAATTCATTGCAAACAGACTTCTAACAATAATGGTCCTGACAGCGGGATGAACTCCACACATTTTTGTTTGCAATGAGAGTGGAGGCCTTGAGTAGGTGTACTGTGTGCAGTAATAAAACAGAGAAAAGACAAGAAGCACCTAGAAAATACACTGAGGGTCAATTGGTCTTAGTCTAGACAGCACTGATCACAATCACTTGATCAAAATACAACTACAGCCAAAACTTCTTAAAATGTGATTACTGCAAGTGTCTCAAACACCTTTATCAACAATCTTCAATATCATAGTATGTTCTGGCTAATTCAAATAGAAAAATGTGAGTACAGTTAGGAGGAGTAGTCAAAAACAACTTGAAATTCTAAATAGAAAATGAAATAAAAACAAGTGGAAGATGCTTACCTTGATAAGAGAGGTACACACGATTGCACCAGCATTCACCATTGGATTATGGGGTTTATCTGTGGGAAAATATAACTTCTTGTGTTCTTTGTTTTGATTTTTAGGTTGCATAATTAAAAGGACACATTATGATCAAATTTAAGGCAAATGCTGAAACCGTTTTCTGATTGTAGAAGAGAGCAGTCATGCTGAAGCTGATGGTTATAATCCTTACCGTCCTCATTCAGGAAGAGCTTGTTGAAGCGTAAGCCACTGGGCTCTTTCCCAATGAATTGGTGCACATATTCAGTGCCGTGGTCATGCACTGCAATAGCGTACTTGAGTGGCTTCACGCACGACTGCAGGCAAAATGGCACTTTAGTGTCACCCACTGTGTGTCTGTGCAAAGAGTAAACAGAGAACCAGAGACATCATCCTATGGTCCATATAAGCAAACAAACATAAGAATGATTTTAAACTGAACCTAACAGCCACACTGTGACTCTAACATGATATGAAGATGTTTAAAAATACTGGAGAAAAAAAAGACATGGGCCTGATTGACATAGACTCCAAGGCATTGAAATTTATTATATATTTTCTTGCTTTCTCCAATTGCTCTGACCTTTCTAAACAGCTCTTTTCACACTCTATATAAAGTCTCATTAGGAAAAATAATTCAATAATTATGTACAATTAAAGCTACTGTTGTGTGAATTACATACATTTGTACATATTTTTTTTCTGCAACATTCAAAAATGTCTAATTTATATAAAAAAGAACAAAAACAATATATTTCTAAGTTTTTTTTTTTAATGTTTATCTCTAAATATTATAAATAAATAATTACTTATTTGCAATAAATAATAGTTAGCAGTTGGGTCAATGGGCAGTGCTTTTTTAGTTGTTGTGAGATTTAAATTATGATTTTGCTTTAACAATACAATTCAATGTATGAGCTGTTGTATGCAGTTTTCTACTTTTCAAATGTAGTAAATAAATAGATAAATGAAATAAGTAAACAGATAAAAGGATTATTTAATAACTTTAAACTACTGTTGCATATTTGCTAAAATGTAACTCTCAGAGTTAATTAAGTTAATCAGGCATTTTGTGTAAAGGCATGAATAGAACAAAGTAAAATGACAGATTTTATTCCATCAATATTTGTCAATAGGTCAAGGCTCTGGCACAGTGTTGTTGACCAAAAGAGCTAGTTACTGTGTAACTGGTGAATGAACATAGTAATCAACACAGAAGTATGTAGGCACCCATGTATCTTTACAACATATCCTATATAGCATGGGGTAAAAATATGCAGATTATATTTTAGTATGTCCTAATTATCGGAGATCAAAGCATGTACCATGACACATGGGTCTAAGTGTTTAGGGAATATTAATGAATGTGAGTTTATAGTCCTGTTATCAATAATTCTCAAATGAGAGAATTAACATTTGCACATTTTATCTGCGCTGGGCGTCGAGTCCAGGAGATACGTGGAGCGTTTTCTGAATGATAAGATTAGCTGCCACTTTATCTGATGGTTTTATAACCAAAACATATTAAGCATTTCCGGTACTTGTCATAATGTACATAGTAATGTACATTCAAATCAAGTGGTCTGGTTAATAAGTACCCAAAGTGATAATCAAAGGTTGTTGAAATATGAAAAATGTAACACACTGACACCAAGCTAAAGCTTTTTAAGCAACAAATGCAGTGAAACTAGTCATAGACGGTTAAAAGAAGTTCCTCTCAATAGATGAAGCTAAACCTCAAGCTAAAATAAGTAGTTGTCAGTAGATGAAGGTGTATGATTCATACCTTTGTCCATCTACTGTGCAAAGGGAAACAGCCCACAGATCTGGGCTGAATTTGGCAAGTTGGGGAATGTAGTCAGCAACCTGTGAGCAAAAGAAAAAAGTGATCAGAAACAAAGGCTGTGTCAAGTTAAAAAGAATCACTAAGAGTTATTATTTGTGTTTCTCTCATCTTACCAGCCCCCCGGAGAGCTTTCTGGCCTTTTCATAAAGTGTATCGATGTGGGAAGCAAAAGGCTGGAAATCAGGGATGACAAATTTCTTCCGGAAGGCCTGTGTTAGGAGAACAATGTTGCTCTGGACACACCTGGAGAAACAAAGAGGACAGAGCTGAAGAACTAAAACCTACCAGTGGGTTGCTCATCGTTTTTGGTAGAAAGTAGGTAATTGTGTCTATTTGTGTATTAATTTCTCCTGAGTAATTATACGACAAATATCAGAGGTAAAAGTTACTTAAATGAGACATAACTTCAACTTTGTGTTTATTGCAGCCCTCAAGAATCAATTCAACACACATAAATACAGAAAAACAGACATTTTATTCTCTTGAAACAATCATTTACACTCCTTCCTCAAGTACCTAAATGTTTATTTCCACATTGATTAAAAGGTAAAAGAGCAACAGGCTGGATCTGTTCAAATGAACATTTCCCACAGAAAAATGAAAGATTTTTTTTGTAAAACATCAAAACATCTATGGTGTGAGAGAGGAAGCCATGGCTGATTTCACAAAGCCAGGTTATTCACTTCCACTAAAGCAGAGGGAAGCAAAGCATCCACAGGCATCATAAACACAGACCTCTCCAGTGATTGTGTCTGAAATATTGGTCCAGTTGCCTCACCAAGGTCCCTGAATGGACAGACACGCTCAAAATAACTGTGCACAGTGCTGCTGTTTACAGATTTATGTGGATATGAATTTTCAAAAGGTAATATATTACTTGCTATCTGAAGGGCAGGGAAGCTAAAGAGGAGGCCATATGTTTGGAATAGCATACTATTATTTCTGCAGTTGTGTATACTATGTATATGTGCTGCATACAAAAAAAATGTATTCATAGAATACCTGAATGACTTTTGTAAAAAATGTGCACTACTGCAGTAGGCACTATATCACACAATGCAATCATCCTGACTTGACCTTTTTCCATATCCAAAGCAAAAGTAAAAGAGCACATATTTTGAATATATTTTTCTCAATTCATTATTTTATTATATATACAGTATATATTTTAGATTTCAAAATGTGAAATCATCTATTTTTGATTGAACACCACGCACCAAATTAAACAATTACTGGAAATTGAGTTTACATCTCACAATTCTTTCTGATTTCTGAGTTTTCATCTTGCAAATTTTTTTTTTGGGGCCACAAAATAAAAAATTAAAAAGGTCATTTTGACTTTCACACAATTCTGAGTTTTCTTCTTGCAATTGCGAGTATATATCTCACAATTCAGACTTTAAAAAAGTCCTTATTTACATTTGTATCCCATGGCAGAAAGTTGGAAACAAGCTTCCATACATTAGTCTTAATCTCGTGAGTGAACATTTTCATCATATGTGTCGAAAGTGCTGTTTAATTCTGTGTTTAAAATGGTTAAATGAGGGAGAAATGCAACTAAGTAGAACACTAATATTCAGTTCCAAACATCTCATTATGGCCCTGTCATGCAAGGTCATTCACTGCCATAATCTACCAAGCCTCTACAAGCTGACACTACTGCACTCATCTCTTCAGTCTGTAATGAAGCTGTCAGTGCCAGCCGGATCGACCTGAAAAACAGACATCTATCAGGCTGGTTTACGCCAGAGGCAGGTATTATGGATGACGTCTAAGGAGTGACACACAGCTAGAGGGAGCAGACTGTCAAGGTTTGCTCATAAATAAGATTCAGGGTGCAGTCCACCAATCAACTTCTATACAACGTATAATATAAACAATCATATAAGTGTAGTATCTAAATGTTTATGAGAAAGTGCACATTTCTTCTCTCTTCTCAACTGCAGGGAATTATTTTAGCTGGCAGACTAAGAATTTCTCACCTTAATTTACCATGATTATTGCCTATAGGCTAATTATGGGCATAGGAATAATAGTTGCAGCTCTGCAGTACACAGTTTGTAGCATACATACTTTATGATATGTATATTTTATGGATGCATGGAATATCTAGATGACCATCCACATTTACAGATGTGCAGTATACAACTGTAAACACTGCACATAATGTTGTATTTCAATGCAACGAGCTTGAATTAATTTGACTTCTTTGACTTCTAAACCTTCTTAATCTATCTGATGATCAACCAGGTTTACAAGAAAAAAAACTGGTTTACCAAAATGTTTTGCTTTTATTTCTATTTTTTCCAAACGTCACCAGCTAGAATCAGTTCCGTTTCAGAGTTCGTGGTCAGTAAGATTTTCATTATTTTAGATTTTATTCAGAAGGATGCATTAATTAGACAGTAAAGACAGTAAAAAATTCTATAATTTTATATAAATGCTGTACTTTTCTATTCAGCAAAGAATCTTGAAAAATGTATCATGGTTTCCACTAATATATTAAGCAGCACAACTGTTTTCAACATTTAATAATAAGAAATGTTTCTTGAGCACCAATCAGCATATTAAAATGACTTCTGAAGGATCATGTGACACTGAAGACTAGATTAATGGCTGCTGAAAATTCAGCTTTGCATCACAGAAATAAATTACAGATTGCAGTTGTTTTAAATTGCAATAATTTTTATACAATTCTTTTTACTGTATGATCAAACAAATGCAACCTTGGTAAGCATAAGAGACTTCTTTCAAATACGTTTTACCCCAAATTTTTTAACTGTAGCGTACACACATCTTGTTGCTCCATGCCATTTTTTTAAATTTTACTAATCATTCTAGGCCTGGAAAACAACACCTTCTTCATATTTTCCATTTTTTCATGACTGAAGAAACAATGAATATGCTACAGCACATTAAAAACAGTGTCAGCTTACTTTTTGAACAGGTGCCGGTCCAGCATTACGCCATCTGACGTGGATTTGAGGGTGACTTTCAACATGTCCATACACTCTTTCAGCCGTGGATCTCCTGTTCGAAGTCCAGTGGCCTTCAGTGCCTGAATGCATACATAAACAAGAGATTTCCATGAGCACAAATAAGAGTTAACAGCTAACTCTCGATGGCCTTACTCATTACTATCATCAATCACAACACTCTTATCAGGGGATTTTACTTCCTTTGTCGGTGAGGCTTGATAAGATAGTCTTAGTGTAATAAAACATGGCTCTGTGCCCCATTTAGAGGTGCCGATAACAGCAACAACACAGCAGTAATTGCACATGCTGACCCTTCGGTCATACTATCGCAAAGAACAGAATTACCTACTATTACACAAAACATGCAACAGCCAATAATATCTGTTCCTGCAAATATAAACATATGTAAGGGGAGTGCGGTCACTCACGGTAATGAATTTGTGAGCTGGGATCCTCTCCTGGCCTTCGGCAATACTGTAAAACAGCAGGTCTTCCAAGCTGGGCAGGATGCCAGCCTTCCTTCTCCTAAAACAAGAGAGAAAAGGGCATTGACATTGAGTGATCTGACCTTAATCAATGACTTCTACCATGATAGAAACTGACAGAATCTACAGTTACAAGACATATTAGATCAGCCTGGAGTGCATTTTAATGTTATGTGTTCAAATACACAATGAACTGTTAAAGGAATTTAGTTAGTTGGGGTTAAATTCAGAGAAAGATGGCCATGCAACAAAGATTAACAGAAAAAAGATTCATTAAGAGCCCATTACTTGATTTATTTTTTTGTGCTGACTATTTTCTTTTAAACAGAAACTTGGGACATATACCGTATAGTATATATAAAATGACATGTATACGTTTAATATATTTTTCTAACAATTTAGAATAAAATATTATATAATTTAATTATAATATTGATAAAAAATATTATTATTATTAATTGTATTGACAGTTCTAAATTTTTTTAAAATAAATTCATAAACTAATACCATAAAACCAATAAATAATAATACTAAATCATAATAATATATTTGTAGGAAACAGTTATAGCCTAGTTCAGTAGAGAAAGACTGTAAATTTAATTAAAAAAACAATTCCACAACTATCACAAATATGCAACAGGTAAATATTTGGGTTTTAAATTGTTACACAGGGGGAAAAATAAAATAGCCATTTATTGTTTTCATTAAAATATGACAACACATATATTTGAACTGTGCTTACATCATGTTACTGGTCTTCAGCAATGTACAAACGCATTAGCATTGCACAATACACAAGTGTAGACACACTCTTGCCAAGTTTTATTAAGAGCCGACCTAACTTAGCCATTGCATTATCACATTTAGATGGCTTTGAGTCTAATGGAGCTCTGTGTAAGCTGCTGCGGCACTGAGCCACAACAGAGTCTGGCCAGGACTGTAATTCCCAGCGGCCTACCAAAACATCCTCTCACACAGCACCAACGGCCCCACCTTCCCACCACGAACATTCCCAGAACTGAGACTTTCCTTTATCAAACGTTATTTACATTTGCTGTATTCATTTTCCTAGAGATTATTTGATTATGTTTCATTTGAATGTTTTTTTATTTAAATACACAACAAAGGCTGACATCGGAATGATACTGAAAATGTGATTTCGATCTTTTGGGTTAATTTGTGAGGATTATAAAACATAGGAAGAGAATTTGTTGAGAAAGGATTGATAGAGGTGAAAGACTGGAAGTGACAATTCAAATCATACTTACACACAACCAAACAGCAGGCAGAGCAATGAGGGAGAGAAAAACATGCAGAATGAATGAGAAACATACAATAAACAGATCAATCAAAACAATTATGATCAACTTAAAATTGATCAAATATAATCAAGAATCTTTATTGATGTATAATGAATTTAAAATTCAGTTGCTTATGTTTTTTTTTTTTTTTGAATAAAAGATCATGTGAATTTACACTACCATTCAAAGTTTTCGGTCAGTAAGATTTTTATTTTTAAAGAAATGAATACTTTTATTCAGCAAGAACAAATTAATTAATCAAAAGTGACAGTAAAGATATTTATAATGTAATATTTTACTATTTATATAATAAAAAGTTATTTTAAATTGTAACAATATTTCACAATATTACTGTTTTTACTATACATTTGAAAAACATTATAAAATCATACCAAGCCCATAATTTTGAAAAGTAGCACATTTCTGATTGTGCCCTTATAATTGAGCATTATAAGGAATGTTCCAGGTTCAAAAAAATGCTGTTGATAAATTTGGCATAATGCTGATTATGACAGACTCGTCTCGGCACTTCGTTTATTGGGCCAGGAATGAATGAATAAATATATATGAATAAATATATTAAAAACTGATACAGTAAACCACTTACTAAGAATTATTCAGTAAAAACTGTTAATTATTTTAACTAAAAATGTATAAATCATCCTTTCTGAGGTGGGACTACTTTTTAAAGTGTTTGAACCTCTGGTTATGCGTTAATAATGTTGTGGCTGAATTCCTGTGGCTCAAGTTTCCTCCATGTTGACAGTGCTTTACAGCTACTTATGACTATATATGATTTTTTTTACTGTATCATGCCAAAACACAGGGTTAACCTGCTAGTCCGAAGATGGCGACAAGTATTTGGTTTAAGTGCCCGAGCTTGCAAAATGATGGATGAGCTGACACTATGTTCTGTGCTAATCAACATTTGCCACGAAAATGCATCCAAAATATTCCCATAAAAGAACAATAAGTGCATGAAAAAGAGAAATAGACTAAAAACAAGTTACACAACGGAACATCGAACAATGCAACCCACAAACAGCTCAAAAAGTCATGCAAAATCCACAATTGTCTGTTTTTCCAATTAAACTATACTATGCAGATACAGAGCTGATCAAAAATTACTTTAATTTCATTTGAAGTGAGGTCACTTGAACTAAATAGTCAACAACCTGCGTTATGTGATCGAAAATCAATTGTGCGCTCATCAGGATTGTGGTATCAGCTTGCAGCAGAAACAGCGGGTCTGTAGTTCTCTCTTAATGAAAGCGAAAGATCCATGAAAAAGGAAATGGGTGAATCATCGGCACTGGACCTTTGAGATCTAATTAGCAGCAAAGGTCTTTTTGGTGTTATAAAACAGCACGTCTGTCTGACTCCGGCCCATTCTCCTCTCCTTTCATCACTCGTCTCTCTGTCTCTGCAGTATATGTGTGATCCTCTACATGGGATTCCAGGGATTCTCAGAGAGCCTCATCACCCTCCTGCAGACTTAATAAAACAAACATTGTGCGCCTATTCACACACCACTGACGGCTCAGAGAAGACAGGCCCAGCACGAAACCAAAAACCACAGGCTGTGCAGACACTGTGACCTGACAGCAGGGATTGTGGGTTTATTTTAAGGCAGCAATTATTCAAACAAATAATAAATATTATGATTACAGCTGTGATTGTTGCGAAAAGCGACGCCCTACACAAAATACATATTTTAATTTACAGTTTATGAATCCAACATTTTTAATAAACTTAAATCAAAATAAAATTTGATAATTACAAAATTAAGATTTTCAAATACAATTCTGAAGATTTTAAAATTCTGAACTGTCAGATAAAGATGTGGTCAGTACCAATAAATCATCAACTTAAATTTTTTATTAACAACAAACAACTACCGAAAGTTAAATTGATCCGTTTATCATGTACGATAAATATACATTTGCAAATGATGGGAACAATTATTCTCTCAATCTGGAAGATCAGACAATATGAGGTGTAAAACATTAAAAAAAGCGCCATGTGAAATCATTTTATCCAAGAAGATGGCATAGTTTGATGCAGATTATTGCAAACAAACATTCACAAGCCTTAAACACTTTATATTTCATGCACGTTTCAAGGGAAGCATGATCAAACAACGCATATGTAGGATGATCAAACATAGATCATTTTGCCTTTGTTGACAATTCTGCATCTTCAGCCTATGTCATGTCTGTTTGGTGAGGTGTCTGATTTAAGGCTTGTTACCAGTTAATAAATGGTCAGCGATGGGTTAAAGGAACCTGCCAAAACATGCATCCGTACCACCAAAGCCTACCGGAAAATACAAGTCTTTGTTCATGTTAGCTCATTAAATAACACAGTTGCAACTTTCGATTTTAACAACGTCTTATTAAATATTGGAATACCTAAGATTAATGAATGTTCAGAAGAATTTTTCATTGGCAGTTTATGTTAACTAATGAATTAACTAATGTTAACTAATGAAGCCCTAATGTAAAGTGTGACCGAACAATAAAGAATCAAAGCACTTGTGATATACTGTATAATAAATATAACTGGCACTAAATATAACTAAGAAAGGTAGGAGAAACCACTGAATATAATCATTGTCATATATAATAAATTACTTGCGACCTCGAGCAAGCAGACGAAACCCAATAAATGCGGTCATTGCTTTCGGAGGTGGATGCTGCTGTTTGGAACGCAGTCATGTAAGGCAGATCTGGGAAGCAATTATACAGAAATACTTTGACAGCAGCAGACTTTGCCCAGGCATTTAAGAATGACCATAACAGCATTTCAGATGCTGTGCAACGAGATCGGTCCGCTGGTTAGTCAGGTTATGCTGTCCCCATAGCGCAAAGTCACATTACTTTTTTTGATGCGCATGGAGGAATTTATTCGCAAAATGCATTTCCATCTCCCATTATTCGCATTAACCCTTTTTCACACACGTCACAAACCACCTCAAGTGAGCGTAAAAACTTTTTTGTGAATTAAGGGATATTTTTTCTAAATTGGCCGTTTCCATCACTCGTTTCTGATGTGATACTTCAAAATGTCCATAAAAACAGGGTGATGGAAACATAGCTAATGAATCAAAACACTTGTGATATACTGTATAATAAATATAACTGGCACTAAATATCACTAAGAAAGGTAGGAGAAACCACTGAATATAATCATTGTCATATATAATAAATTATATATTGCATATTCGCAAAATGCATTTCCATCTCCCATTATTCGCATTAACCCTTTTTCACACACGTCACAAACCACCTCAAGTGAGCGTAAAAACTTTTTTGTGAATTAAGGGATATTTTTTCTAAATTGGCCGTTTCCATCACTCGTTTCTGATGTGATACTTCAAAATGTCCATAAAAACAGGGTGATGGAAACATAGCTAATGTGAAACTGAAAATATGTATTCACTATCTGGCTATTTACCTATCTAGAACTTCCTTTTTTTATTGCATCAGTGGTCACATGGCAGTCAATTTTCTATACCGCACACTGAGCAAATTTGTTTATTGGCCTAAAAGGCACGATTCTCATTAAAGAAGACTATGTTTGTTAAACCTCCCGGTGGTATTACTATTAATGGACACTTGATGGTATATGGCTCATTGCATCAGTGGTCACATGGCAGTCAATTTTCTATACCGCACACTGAGCAAATTTGTTTATTGGCCTAAAAGGCACGATTCTCATTAAAGAAGACTATGACCCT